TGCAGTCAATCCCTTGTTGAGTTGTGTGGCATCCATGCACAGCACTACTGGACTGTGTTTCCATGTGGAATAAACAGGAATAGAAAAGATTGAGGCTTGCTTTTACTTTCAAGCTGCCCATTCCACTACACTGAACCTTCTGTGTTATTAATTCTGTTTTTCTACCTGATTGCATTTAAAGCAGCTCAGGCTGCAACAGTTTTTGGTTGGTTTATGAGTAAAAATGGAGGATGTGGTTTTGAATTACAAAAGTGATTGCAAACTCTTGTGTTCAGCTTGTTCTGAATGCACTCTGATCCTGTGGGATCCTGAGCTTCATACAGAACTCCTTTAACATATACCAATATTAATCACCAGTTTATATGACATGGATATCTTTTTTTGTTATGTTCATCTTCCATTGATAATAACTGTTCTCTCTAAAATCTCTAAAACACTAGAGAAGGAGGAGAAAAATAATTTTGGGAAAGATCATAGTGTAACCTTGAGCTGGTTAGTTCTTGTTTACTCTCACAGGCTCAGAGATCACAGATCTAACAATGCATTAAAATCTGCAACTCTTCACTGAAAAATGTGAATCTGGACCATAGGTGCAAGCTAGAGCTCCCCCACCCAAGAGTTTTCAGCCATCTAAACCAAGTGGCTGCATCTTGGTGGGCATTTTTCTCCTGTAGTCAATAGTGGTGCTACTGGGATTTCATTCCTGGCTGTTTTCCTTCTCTTGTTTTATAAATGAAAAAGCTTGAACAGTGATGACTTCTGTAACTGGATCTAACCTCTTGTAAACAGATGGCTGTGGAAAAAGTGCAGGGCATTAGTCGATTGGAGCAGCTCTGTGAAGAGTTTTCAGAAGAAGAGAGAGTGAGAGAGCTTAAACAAGAGAAGAAGCGCCAAAAGCGGAAGAACAGAAGGAAAAATAAATGTGTGTGTGAGATCCCTGCTCCTCTGCAGGCAGCAGAAGAGAAGGAAATCAATCAGGCAAAGGTAAACATGGCTAGCTGGGGCTTTTTGGGGCTTCATCCATCAGCTCACTGTTCCATGGTAGAATTTGTGAGGGATTTTCTTGTATTTTGGTCCTTGGTGGAATTTAATGCTCTTTCAGATGAGCAGGGTCTTTGTAAAGTCAGCTTCTGGGTTTTTTTAAATCATAAATCTGAGGTTCAGGTTGTGCCAGGACCTGGGGATTCAAATGCTGCTTGTAGGCAATTGCCATTGGATTTTGGAGAGGAGGGGGAACCTTTAAGTGCATTTTTATTCAGGATCTCTTGGCTGGTCTTAATGGGCTGTGACTGGGTCGAGGTAAATTGGTTGGGGTTTTGTTTAGTTGTGTTGTACTCGTGAAGAATTCTAAGCAATGCTGTTATCAGTCAGTGTCAGCTGGTGTTTCTCATGGAAAGAGTATCCTTTACAAAGTGCTGGCTGAGCTGCTTCCAGTGCCTGCAATGTTTTTTGTTTCTGTTTGAAGGAGAACTCAAACTTCACGGAAAGCAGCTGCAAAGCCTGTGGTAGCACCGAAGAAGCCAACAACTGTGTAGAAGTAATTGTTACTAATGAAAGCACTTCTTGCACTTGTCCTAGTAGTGGTACCCTATTAGGCTCACCTAAAATCAAGAAAGGTATGTTTAATGTCAGTATTTTTCACTTTTAAAAAGCATTTCCCATTTATGGGGTGAACAGTGGTCACCTGTTTTTATAAAGGAGTCTCTGCCCGTGGCAGGGAGGTGGAACGAGATGATTTTTAGGGACCCTCCCTACCCAAACCTGTCTGGGGTTCTCTGGATTCTCTCTTGTTAGAGGCATAACTAAAGAATGTGCAGCAGTTCCTACAGATGGCAGTAATTTTGGCCTCTGTCTCAGGTTTATCTCCACACTGTACTGGCAGCGACTGTGGCTATTCCTCGAGCATGGAGGGCAGCGAAACGGGGTCCCGGGAGGGCTCGGACGTGGCCTGCACTGAGGGCATCTGCAACCATGATGAAAATGGTAGGTTTGGGAAGAAGATAATGATGCTTTGATGCCCCCAGAGCTGCAGCATCTCAAAGGGAACTTGGCTGTGTTTTGCAGGGGACGATGCCTGCGTCCATCGCTGCGACGACAAGGAGGAGGATGGAGACAGCTGTGTGGAGTGCTGGGCTAATGCAGAGGAGAGCAACACAAAAGGCAAAAACAAAAAGAAGAAAAAGAAAAGTAAAGCTTTGAAGTGTGAGAATGACCACGTAAGGAACATGGCTCTGCCAGATGCTTCTCTTAAGTGCTTACATTTGAAAGTAGTTACAGCAGGATTTTAAATTACCATTTGAGACTATGCTGAAAATGGGACAGCAGGGATCTCCTGTTCCCTTGTCATCCCAAGTTTTGGAACTGAGGTCCTTCCTGTAGGTTAGGTTGTGGTGGAGTTTCTTCTGTGTTCCTAAGCACGTGCACTTTTACTCACTCTCAGTGAATGTGCCACCCCCAGCTCCCCAGGCACGTGTTTAAGTGTAAATACCTACCCTTGCTCACCTTTGAACCTTCCCTTTTCCCTCTGCTTCCGTCTCAAACTCGAATATTCCACACGAAGCACTGCTGGCAGTTGATTGCAGGCTCTTTTCCATTCCAGATTCAGAAGCTTGGGAGCTGTCTGGCAGATGCAGGTAGCAGAGAGAGCTCAGGAAATCTCACGCACACAGAGTTTCACCGCGACAAGACCAAAGACACACACGCTGAGAGCTGCTGTAGCGCAGACAAAAGCGGCCAGCAGTTGCCTTGGTTTGAGCATATGAAAAATGTGTCACAGTTTGCAGAACCTACAGAAATGTCACTTGTCCCTGATACTGGAAAAGGTGCCAAAAGCTTAGTGGAACTCCTTGTAAGTAACCGCTGCATTTGAGTTTTGAGTTTTAGCATCCTGCTTTAATCTTTGGGGCTGAGAACTCAACTCCCAGTGAGGAGCTGTCCCAGTGTTGAGTTCGGTTCCTTGTGCACGTTCCCTGAGAAGTTTATAATTGAATGCTTTGCAGAGGAGGAGAAATGGTCGCTGGAATGCGGTGACAGAACTTGTGTTGCAAGTGCTCATTGTCAAGGGCTGCATTATTCCGTAACATCAAGTGGGCATTATTGCTGCCTTCAGGCCTCAAATGTGGCTTCCCACTGCAGGCTCCTTGGGCAGCTTTCATCTCTCTCCTCTCCTTCCACTTACTTAGATCCTTTGCTCTTTCCCTGCTTTTTTCTTTTCTTTCTTTTTTCACCTTTCCTCCCCTCAATTTTCTTTCTCCTATTTTTTCCCTTTTTCTTTCCCTGCCTTTTCCTCAAAACCCACTAATAAAATCAATCCTCTTCCCATGGGAATGTGCTAAGACTGAAGCAGATTTGGATTTGTTTAATGACTGAATTGGCTATTTCTCACCCCAGAGCAGCAGAGCCCTGTGTGAGTGCGGTGTCTGGATCAGCCAGCTGGGCTTTGGGCTGGGGTCAGATGTGCTGCACAGGAGGGCAGTGCTGGAGCTCTGAAATCCCCCCTCTCATTGCAGGATGAGTCAGAGTGCACTTCTGACGAGGAACTATTCATCTCCCAGGATGAAATCCAATCATTCATGGCAAACAACAAGTCTTTCTACAGCAACCGGGAGCAGTACCGGCAGCACCTGAAGGAGAAGTTCAACAAGTACTGTCGCCTCAACGACCACAAGGGGCCCGTCTGCAACAGCTGGCTGGCCACAGCTGGAGCCAACTGAACCCAATCCAACTCTGTCTGTCACTGAAACTCGAGATGACTACTGCGCCTTCTCCTTCCAAACTTAATTTAGTGACTTACGGCAAAATTTTATCTTAAATTAATGTGATTATTTTTTTTTCTTGTTTTTTTTTTTTCCAGGGGGAGGCTGGTGGAGGTGATTTCCTTAATTTTGTTCTTTCTCCAGGCTTGTATCTTTAGTTGAGTAGCTGTGCAAGCCTCTCTTCTAATTTAAGCCATCTCTTTTCATTCAATGTTTCTCTTCCTGTGAGACTTACAAAAAGCAAACTAGTGGCAAAGTAATGTTGTACCTATAATTCTGTACAGAATGACAAGGAGCTGAATATAAGATTTTACAAAGTAGACATCCATTTGCAAAATGTTTTGGATGTAATATGTTAAAGCGCAATGTGCAAAAATTTAAATAAAGAATATTTATTAATATGCATAGTAAAAGTGAGTGTCTATGTTTGTACTCTGAGTGCTCAATTCCTGCGGTTCCAGGTGCGTGGAGGTGGGGGTAAGGTGGGGAAAGCTGGGCTGGGAAAGGACAGAGCCTTGAAAACCAGGCTGTGCTCCTCCACGGATGGTTTGGGGATGTGGAGTTGCTGCCAGCACAGCAGGGACTGTGAGGGCCCAGCTCTGTCCATGGCACGGTCCCAGCCTGGCACTGCTCAGCATCAGGTGCCTGTTCTGCTTCCAGGAGCTGGGATAAGGGATGGCCAGGAGCTGGAAATCCTGCCCTGAGGGCTGTGCCCAAGGGCACCATGCTTTGGGAAGGGGGTTGGATTTGGAGGGTGCAGCTTGGGCCATTTGGGGGGCATTGTTAAATCCCACCCTTTTCTTACATCAATTCAACATCTGTCCTCCTTCTTCTGTTCCAATTAATCAATTTCCTCACACATTTCTGAGGATTATTTGAGCATCCTTGGCCCTGGGGAGGAGGATAACACCCCCTTCCCTGTGCTGCTCACCCTCTCCTCTCCATTTCATCCCTCTCTAAAACCTGCTTGGCTGCTGGATCCTGCTCTACTCATCCCTCCCGTGGCTGCTGGATCCTTCTCCGCTTATCCCTCCCGTGCCTTTCCACGCTGGGGAACGAAACCCTCAAACCCCGCTCCCATCCAGAGCTGCGCCCCTCAAACTTGGCTCACGGAGGGTGTGTCCCTTATGGGCGTGTCCCCATGGGCGTGTCCCTGTGGGCGGGGCGTGTCCCAGGGGCGTGTCCCGGGGCGGGGCCGGCGGGCGGGCGGCGCTTTGTGCGCGGCGGCTGCGGCGGGGCCGGGCCGGGGCCATGGAGCGCTGGTCCGGCCGCGTCGCGCTGGTCACCGGCGCCTCCGTGGGCATCGGCGCGGCCGTGGCGAGGGCGCTGGTGCAGCACGGCATGAAGGTGGTGGGATGTGCCCGCAGCGTCGACAAGATCGAGGTACTGGCGGTACCGGCGGGGCGGGGGCCGCCTCTCCCCTCACGGGGCCGCCTCTCCCCTCATGAGGCCGCTCCTGGCCGGGCCACCGCTCGGGGGATGCCCGGCCCCGGCTGCTCCTGCCCACTGAGCCGCTGGAGCGGGGGGAAGGTGCCCGAGCGAGGAGCGGGATCGGTTTTCGGTTTTGTTGTTTTTTTTGTTTTTTTTTTTTTTTTTGAGCCGCTTCTTATCGAGGTTAAAAATAGCATCTCTGTCCCCGGGAGCGGGATGGGGCTGCTCGGGAGGCTGGGCGCTCCTGGTATTCAAACGGGGTTCGGTCCTGCCAGGAGCATCCCCACAGCCCCCTCAGAAACCTGATGGCGCTGGCTCGGCGATAAAGATGCTCACAAGAAGTGTTTTCTCGGGATCCCTGTTGTGCGTGGGTCAGCTGTGCCTCGCAGCGGCTTATTTGCCATTTACGAAGTTTCCTCTGAGGGAGGAATTAAGTTTTAGTCATCTTAAATATCGCCATCGTGGGTGTTTGGAGCTAAAGGGGACCTGTGCGATATCCAGGGTTGTGTTTCCATAGCCGAGGTGGTAAGGGCTGTGTACAGCTGACTGTGCTAGGAATAAATGGTCCAAAATTCATGGAAACCAAGGCTTGGCATCGGTGGCGTTGCTAAGCGGGGTTGATAAAGAAATGCTCGGGAAAAGCCAAACTTTTCCCCTTTTTCATTGCGTATCTCGGAGGCTCTGCTCGCAGAGAGGAGAGAGCACCAATGTGACTGAGTGCACGGTCCTTTGGGGCTGCTGCGAGTTTTGACTTGCCAGGGTTTTGGTGCTGTGGTTTGCAGGGAGGGCTGAGCTCTCCAAAGCCTTTCCCACCTGCAGCTGGTTGGATGTGCTCGGGGTGCCTGGCAAAGGATGCTGCAGAGGATGTTGTCGCTTCCCATTCCTCTCCAGAAAGTTATTTCCAATATTGCCGTTTCCAGCAGCTCCCTTATCTTGGATGTTGTTCTGGACTCCTTTCATTTGGGAAAGAAATCAATGCAGCTTGTGTTTTCCTTCGTTGTTCACGTGAGTTTCCTTCCTTTCCCAACCTTTCCTGGCAAAAACGCAGCGTGGGTTTAAAAACCAGCAGTGCTGTGAGGCTTTGTGTTTGGATTTGAGTGTGCCCCAGGGCGATGACTCCTGTATTGATCATTGATTGATTTGGTTTGCAGATTGGGGCTGCTCCCCGGTGTCCTGAGCTGTGTCACACACGTGTTCCCACAGCAGCTGATGTTTGTCCCCTCGCTGGGACCCCAGTGTGTCTGCAGGGCTGTCATTTGTTTTGCTGGGTGTCTGGACTGTGTTTTGCTCCGCTGCTATTCTGGGTTTATTTATTGTCGAGCTTGTTTCCCTAACGAGGAAGAAAATCCCAGGGGGGGAAGGTGCTGGAGCGTGGGGGGATCCAGGGTCACTGTGGGAACAGCTCTGTCACCTCCTGGCTGCCAGGGATGCTGTGGGAGCTTTGTACCCAGCCCTGCTTCAGAGCAGGGCTGTTCATGGAGCTGTCCTCCAGAGATTCACCTTGAGGATTTTCCTTTAAAAAAAATTAAAATAAAATAGCAAAATGTCCAGACTTGGAAGTGTTGAGCTGGGGATTTGATTGGGGGGGATTTGAGGGATGCTCAAAAAAAAATTGAAATAAAATAGGAAAATATCCAGACTTAGAAGTGTTTGGGGATTTGATTGGGGGGGATTGAGGGATGCTGGAACACAGTGATGGAGGGAGGAGAGAAGGGAAATGTGAAGCAGCTGAGGGTTTGGTGATGCCAGAGCATCCCTACCATGGCTAACAGAATTATGGAATCCCAGTGGTTTGGGTTCAAGGGAACCTTATAAACCATCCCATTGCAACCCCCATGGGCAGGGACACCTTCCACTATCCCAGGGGGCTCCAGGGAAGCTTGGAAAGAAGGCGAGCAGCAGGGTGTGAAACCTGGAATGTAGAGCTCACTCTAACACAAAACCATCACATTTCATCGAAGTTCGGGAAGGTCGCCGGTTTTAAGATGAAATGCTGGAACCCTTGTATAAGGTGGTTTTGTAACCTCCAGCTAACTGAAAGAGCAGGTTGTCTGGTGGGGATTTAGCTGGGGCAATAAATGCTATGTCAAGATTTCTTAATCTCTTGGAAAATCAGATAAGGGCTCGAGGCAAGATAACGAAGGATTTGCAAAGTTGCGTGTTTGGCGTTAAACCCCTGTCACAACTCCAGTGGTCTTTATTTGCCTTTTGAAATAAAAAATGGTAATGGCTCACAAAAAAGCCCCAAAAACCCCCAAACTGCAGAAGGATATTTTTTATTTTTTCCCTTCCAGTGGCTCCACTGTCCACGTTTCCCTCCCTGCTCCCTGCCGCAGCCTCTTCGTGTGGGTCATCCAACAGGAGCTCAAACAGTCAGACATCGAGGAATAAAATATAATTAAACTGGCTGCGTTTTCCTTGTGCACGCCAGGAGGTAATTCAGGTTGAAGGCTTGTTTTAAATGCAGAGCCCGGAGGTACCAACAGCTGTCAAGGACTTCTTGGCGTGTGCTCAGGGAGCGTTTGCTGCTCTCCAGACACCGCCACGCGTTCCAAGGCAGCAGCTCTCACCAAGCAGCCAAGTGTTTTTATTTTTTAGCAGCTTGGAAGAGCAGGTTTTGGGGGGAAAATGCTCCTTGGGTGCAGAGATTCGCTGAGATTTACAGCCACAGCCACTCTGCTGCTCCTCACTTTCCCCTGCTCGTGTTTTCCAGGAGTTTGTGTTTGGTGTCTGGCTCCTTGCAGCAGCACAAAAAAAGGGGAGAATTTGCACATGCATGGGACAAAATGTTCCTGCCCTCCCGGCTGGCAAAGCCCTCTCTGGTCTTTTATTCAGTGAGATGTGTGAGTTGTGTTTTGCAGGGTTTTCCCCAGGTTGGGAGGGTTTTCCTGGCTCAGAGGGACTCTGCAGCTTTTCCCTTGCAGCACAGCAAGGCAGAGACAGGGAGCTGTTTCCAAGGGGTTTGCAGTGGTGCTGGTACTGTGCTTTTTTATAACGAAAATTGATTTATTTTCCATTTCCAGAGAATGGCAGAAGTGCTGGCAGGTGCTCCCCCTCCATGCATGGTGTCAGAGCCCTGATCTGCGGCATGGCTGGGGCTGTCACTGGGGGCAGATGCTCCAGGTGGGACACTGCCCCCTGCTCCAGCTCGCTGGAAATCCTCCAGCAGCTTGGTTGCCTTGCTGTGCTGTGCCCAGGGATGCTGTGCTCCAAAAGAAATCCATTTTTCCCTGTCTTTGTTGGCGTGCCGAGAGCAGAGCCGTGCAGGAAGCAATAAATGTGACTTAAGATACAAGGTTTAACCAATTAATTCCAATGCATTTGTGACAGGTATTGATCAAAGGTAGCATTTATAACCAGGGCCTGCTTTGTCAAGGTTAGATCTTGCTCAGAAGCAGCCTTTGATAAGCTCAGCAATTGATTGCAGCTTGGAGCAGCCCAGGCTCTGGGGAGGCTGTTGGGAGGAGGAGGAGGAGGAGGAAGGAGCTGAGAATTCCTCGTGGGACCTGAGCATCCATTTTTGGGCTCTCTGGTCACTTCAGGGAACCCTCAGGTGCTCCTAGGAGGGTAATTAACAGTGTAATTAACAGCTGGTTGCTGAGTGTGGTGTTTAATTCCCTGCAGGCAGATCAGATGATGGTTTAGAGCTCATCTGGTTCCATTTTGGCGTTTTGTCTGTCCCTGCTGGGTCTGTCCCTCTGCCCAGCAGCTGGGATGGGTTTCCTGGGCTGTTCCCACAGGTTCCCCCCATCCTGAGCAGGATAATCCCGAGGCAGGGTGCCTGTGGAGTGTGAGTGACCTTCAGAGTCCCCTTGGCCCCTGGCAGGGGCTGTTCTGTGTCTGGGGATGGTGGGCTCAAGGCCTCTGAAGGGCTTTTATTGCCACTTGTCCCTGACCAGATCCTGTCTGATAAACAGCAGAGATCCCATCATTGCTGGGAACAAATACCTCTCTGTCCTCGTGCATTCCCCCAGCCTTGAAACTCAGGGGGTTCAAACCAGGCTGGATTCCTCCTGTTTCTCCCCCAAAATGTGCTTTGAGAATGTGACTTTGCAGCACCCCCCTCCTCTGCTGCTCTGCTGTGCCTGGGGTTTGCAATAGAGCAGCAATACCGTGCTCAGAGCCCCAAAAAGAAATAATAACCGAGCTTTTCCTGTGTTTTGGAGCTGGGATGGGGGTGTGTGCTGTGTCAGGTGGCAGTGCCGTGCCTCAGTTTCCCCGTGTAAAACCTGGCAGCTGTCCTGGGAGGGTGGGAGGAAAAGGACACAGGAGGCAGGTGCCAGGACCTGGGGGTGTCAGGCAGGGGCTGGGGCTCAGCTCTGCCCCCTGAGCTGGGTGCCTGTGGGTTCCTTGGGGATCCCAGTCCTGACAGTGATCCCAGTGATCCCAGTCCTGGCAGGCTCTGTGGGGCCGGGTTTAGGGCAGGCTGAGCTCTCTGGGGCTGGGTTTAGGATAGGCTGAGCTCTGTGGGGCTGGGTTTAGGATAGGCTGAGCTCTGTGGGGCTGGGTTTAGGGCAGGCTGGGTTTAGGGCAGGCTGGGTTTAGGGCAGACTGAGCTCTATGGGGCTGGTTTTTGGACAGGCTGAGCTCTATGGGGCTGGGTTTAGGACAGGCTGGGTTTAGGACAGGCTGGGTTTAGGACAAGCAGGGCTCAGAGGAATGCAGGGATATTGCTCTAATGAGCTGTCACGGTGACAGCAGTGTCACCTCCTCCACGCCAGCCTGGAGCAAGGAGTGACAAACTCCAAGTGCCTTGACGTGAGTGAGGAGGGGCTGGGTGAGTGCCTGAAGGTGGCAGGGACCTCTGGGGCCTTTGGCTGTGTGTGACAATGGAAATTGAACATCAAGTGAGCTGAGGAAACATCTCCTGGGATGCTGAACTGCTGGGGAAGTGCAGGGAGCAGAGGAGGCTTGGGAAGGAGCAGCCTGGCTCTGGCTTAGCCAGACCCAGCTTAGCAGGAGCCTGGGAGGAAATGTGGAATGATATTTATCCTTGGATCTTATGGGCCAAAAGGTACCCAGAGCTCAGAGTGTGATTCTCTCCACGTGACACAGCTCTGAATGCCACTCATGGGCACAGAGCGCTGTGGAAATAAATAAATAAACAAACAAACCTCACCCTGCTGCTTTATTCACTGTAGCTCTCTATTATGCTGTTGTGCGGTTATTAAATCTTAATTAAAAGCAGCTTCAGACTTGCCAGTCAGTGGAATGAGAGGGTTTGTAAGCCCCCAGTTTTCTCTCACAGCTCTGGTGCTGTTTGTTACAGTTTTTGTCCTTCATTTCCTTCAGGTAGCAAAAGTGATTGGGGTGATTTTGGTGCTTTTCCAGTTGGTTTCTTGGTGCAGGAGCTCAGTCAGTAGGACACAGGTTCCTGTGGTGAATGGCAGGTGAGATTAAAAATCAGCCAATGGCACCTTCTGGCTTCCATTCACTGATCTAAATGTGTCTGAAGTTAATGGGAGGCTTTGCCAAATAAAGCCCTGCTTGACTCCTTCCTTCTTTTCCCCCTCTTTAGAGCCCCTTAACATTTTATATCAATTAGTTCTGTAAAACCATTTCATCAGGATGAATGTGGGTGCAGGGCACCATGGATATGCACAAAGATTATTAACTCTTTCAGGGGAGAACTGGAGGTTTCTGACCACAGCAAACCCATCCCATAAATGTGGGGCAGCCTTTCAGACTGGCTGTCCATTTCCAGGCATCCAGGGATAATGCTGTGCTGCAGAGATGCTGGGAGTGTCCCAGGCTTTGGAGCAACCTGGGACAGTGGAAGGGGTGGAATTGAATGATCTTTAAGGTCCCTTCCAACCCAAACCATTCTTATTTCAGATTTCCATCTCCAGCTGCTGGACTTGCACTGCCCTCACCTGTATTGCAGTTGCATTACCTGGTCACTCTCAAATTGTTCATGAAATCTGGAAAATCAGCTTTTTTCCTCTTTTTTTCTCTCCTCCTCATGCATGGGATGAGCTCAAAGTGGATTGAGCATCACTTGAGTGACTTAATGGATGCTCTGAAAAAAAAACCTCTGTGAGCTCGGTAGCTTAGAGCTGCTTTTCAAAAGTCTCTTGCAAACTTGCCTGCAGTTGATGTTTCTTTGAAGAGCCTGTGATGATTCTTTATCTGTAGATGGCTGGAGCACAATCCAGCCCTGCCTGGGTGTCAGCAGTGTTCAGCACTTGCTTTTCAAAGAGAATTTGTTAGCACAAGTGCAGCCTGAGAGATGAAAGGATCCGTGTTGGAGGCAGCCAGACACCAGGCAGGGAGGGAAAGGTTTTGAGGGAGATTTGATTTCCCAGGTCAGTTGTGGCAGAGACGCTGAAAAGAGAAGTGAAAGGGCATTCTCCTGGTGCAGCTGGAGCAGAGGAGGGGCAGCCCCAGCCAGAATGCTCAGCTTGGAGGGGCCACAGTGGGGCTTGTGGTACAGCCTCCCTGCTGCAGCAGGCTCATCCCAGAGCAAATCACAGCCCTTGCTCCCTCTGCTCCTTCACCTGGGTCTGCACTGAGCAGGCGAGGGTGGAAGTGGCAGCTGGACATGGACACAGAGCAGTGACACAGAGCCCTGTGTCCCCCTGGGCTGTCAGTGAGCTTGTCTGTCCTTCCCTGTCCATGTTGATGTGTCCCTGTTCCCTCCAGCTCTCCTGGCACGGCTCCTGCTCTGGGAGATTCCTCCCATCCCCCTGTGCTTGTGTTTCTCATTTTTGGACATCTTTGGCATTGCTTGATTCTCACTCTCTCGCCAGCTCGTGGTCCTTTTGCCCTTTTCCCCTCCTGTATCTTTGCAGCAACAAGGCCCCATCCCTGGAGCAGTTCAGAACCTTCCAGCAGCCCTTCCTGCTGCTGTGAATTTCCTAAATGCTGCTCTTGCAGGGATGCAGGCATTTCCCCTCCCCTCACTGTTTTTTTCAAGCGTGTGCTCCAAAGGTGAAAAGGAAAATATTCTCCCACTCCTATTAGCACATCACCAACAAGGTTCCCTGCATGGCGAGGTGCTGGCAGCCCCAGGAGGGCACAGAGGGGTGGGATTCAGTGCCAGGGGCAGGTTTGTTCAGGCAGGGCACAGAGGGTTGGGATTCAGTGCCAGGCCAGCTTTGCTCAGGCAGGGATGCTGTCAGGGGCTCTCTGGGGATGCTGCTGGCAGGGATCGATTCCAGCTCAGCTCAGCACATCCCTGCCCTCCCTGCCTGTGCTGTGAGAGCAATAATGATCATTCTTGTGTTCTGCAGGGCCTCCCCTGAGCTGGGAGCCAGGCAGGAGAGCAGCTCCTGCACCACAGCTCAGCCCTGGGCTGGTTCTGCCTTGTGGTCCATGGAAGCTGCTGGGGTCTGGGGAAGGTAAAGCAGCAAAGCTGCAGCTGCCTGCTCAGGGCTTTGGTCCAGCTCTGTGGTTGGCTCAGCTACTGGGAAAGGCTGAAAATCATTTACCAGACAGCCCCAGAGTGCTTCATTTACCAGAATGCCTCAAGTGAACCTGTTTGGGGTGCAGGGAGGGCTGGGGAGGAGCTGCCTCCATGTGCCATCACTTCCAGGAGATTCCTGCACTGGCCCTCGCTGCTCCCTTTATGAAAAGCTGGGAATTGCAGTGCCTGGAGTGCAGGAGGAGCTGGCAGCAGGGGGAAGCTGTCTGTGGTGGCAGGGGCAGGGCTGTGCTGCACACACTGAGATGTCACCGTCGGTGACACCGCCACGGCCCCGTGTCCCGGGGATTTGGTGGGCATTTGTAGCCAGAATCCATCTCCCCTCAGGAGCCAGACATCATGTGGCTCCTGCCTGGCGCTGGGAGCTGTCACTGTCACTGTCACTGCTGTGACACATCGGGGAGGAGATGCTGCTTCTCATTAGTGTCAGGGGTAAAGGGCACCCTCGGAGCTGTGCTGGCAGCTGGCAGCAGCTCCTGGCCCTGCCTTGGCTGCGTGTCACCCAGCCTGACAAAAGCTCGGGGTATTTGGAGTCATCCTTGGCCGTGGCTAACGAGGAATTGTCCTTTGCCAGTGTGGCAGACTCCCAGCCTGGTGCCAGGGCAGCACTGATTTGTGGTTTTGATTTGTATTTTGTGTGTGCTGCTCACCTTGAGCAGGAGCAGCACAGCACTGAGCGTGTCCTCAGCTCCAGAACTGAGAGGCTGGAGCTCTCAGCTTCTCCTGGATATCGAGATCTCCTTTTTCTTAATTAGCATCACACTGATCCTTCCCCAGTGCCTGCTTTGCAGGCTGTGTTAGCCCTGAGGTGTGGTCTTCAGGAAGTGGCTGGAAAAGCTGCTCTGTGGGGAGAGGGGGCTGATGGCTCTTTCCATCCTTCTTTCTGGCTGTATTTCCATCCTTCTTTCTGGCTGTATTTCCATCCTTCCTTCTGGCTGTTTTTTCCCCTTCCTTCTGGCTGTTTTTTCCCCTTCCTGCTGGCTGTTTTCCCTCTTCCTTCTGGGTATTTTTCCCCCTTCCTGCTGGCTGTTTTCCCCTTTCCTGCTGCTCGTTTTTTCCCCTTCCTGCTGACTATTTTCCCCCCTCTCTGCTGGCTGTATTTTCCCCTCTCTGCTGGCTGTTTCCATGCTTCCTGCTGGCTGTATTTTCCCCTTCCTGCTGGCTGTTTTTCCTGATGACTGTTTTCCCCTCTCTGCTGGCTGTTTTTTCCCCTTCCTCCTGGCTGTTTCCCCCTTCCCGCTGTCTATTTTCCCCCTCTCTGCTGGCTGTTTCCCCCCTCCTGATGGCTGTTTTCCCCCCGCCTCTGTCTCCCCCAGAAGCTGGCAGCTGAGTGCCAGAGCGCTGGCTACCCGGGCACGCTGATCCCCTACAAGTGTGACCTGTCCAACGAGGAGGAGATCCTGTCCATGTTCTCTGCCATCAGGACCCTGCACCAGGGGGTGGACGTGTGCATCAACAACGCGGGCCTGGCGCGGCCCGAGCCGCTGCTCTCGGGGAGGACGGAGGGCTGGAGGACCATGATCGATGTGAGTATTCCTGGGCCATTTGCTGCCTCTGCTGGCCACCCTGTCCTCATTGCAGAGCTGAGGATCTGCCCCCCAGCCCGCTCTGACACAGCCCAGCTGTGCTGCCTGGGGGGTGGAAGGACATCCTGCCCTGCTGAGCCCTCACTTCGGAGGATGGAAACACAGCAGCATTTTTCCTTCAGCTCGCTGGCTTTCTGAAGGAGGAAGAGCCTCCCTTTTTCCTCTTTTTTTCCTCTTTTTTTTCTCTTTTTTCCTCTTTTTTTTCCTCTTTTTTTCCCTCTTTATTTCCTCTCTTTCCTCTTTATTTCCTCTCTTTTTTGCTCTTTTTTCCCTCTTTTTTCCCTCTTTTTTCTCTTTTTTCCTCTTTTTTCCTCTTTTTTCTTTTTTCCCTTTTTTCCCTCCTTTTTCCTCTTTATTTCCTCTCTTTTTCCTCTTTTTTCCTCTCTTTTCCCTCTTTTGTCCCTCTTTTTTTCTCTTTATTTCCTCTTTTTTCTTTTTTTCCTCTTTTTTCCTCTTTTTTTCCTCTTTATTCCCTCTCTTTTTTTCCTCTTTTTTCCTCTTTTCCCCTCTCTTTTTTTCCTCTTTTTTTCCTCTTTTCTCCCTCTTTTTTCCTCTTTTTTTCCCTCCATTTTTCCTCCTTCTTTTTTTCTCCTTTTTTTCTTTTTTTCTTTTTTTTTCTTTTTTATTTTTTTTTCTTTTATTCCTCCAATAAAGCAGGAAATGGAATGCCAGGCGCTGGGGTTTGCAGCTAATCCTGTTACTTGTGGCAGTGGTTTGTAGAAATGGGCAGATTCTTTATGGCTTAAAAAGCTGTAATGCTTTTTGTCTTTACAGCTTCATTTTCTGCCCATAATCTGGTTAGGGCTGGATGTGAATGGGAGTGTTTCATGTGCTGAAATGGGAGCTGTGCACATGGCCTGTCCCATTTACAATTTCTCCTGGGCATCTTCTGTGACTTCACCATTTTTGTCATTTTGTGGGGGCCCTTTCTCTGCACAGAGCAGTGGGAACCACAGCTGTGGGACCTCGGGATGGTTTGGATGTCCCTGCAGTGTCTCTGGCCAGGGAGGTGCTGGATTAAGGTGTGATTTCCCCTCCTCTGGCCAGGGAGGTGCTGGATTTTGGTGTGATTTCCCCTCCTCTAGCCATGAAGTGCTGGATTTTGGTGTGATTTCCCCTCCTCTAGCCATGAAGTGCTGGATTTAGGTGTGATTTCCCCTCCTCTGGCCAGGGAGGTGCTGGATTTTGGTGTGATTTCCCCTCCTCTAGCCATGAAGTGCTGGATTTTGGTGTGATTTCCCTCCTCTGGCCAGGGAGGTGCTGGATTTTGGTGTGATTTCCCCTCCTGTGCCACCTTCCCTTGTGCACAGAAACGTTTTCCTCGCAGGAACAGGAGTGGAACCCATGGCTGGCAGCACCTGCAGCAGCTCTGGGAGCTTGTCCTGCTGAAGGGGAGGAGATGTCTGAGGAGCTCTTTGAAGGCTCAGCAGTGGAGTCAGCTGGGAGCTGTCAGCTCCCCTGGCTGCTCTGTGTAAAAGAGAAGCACTCTGAGACTTCAGGCTCCTGCTGCCAGGCCAAGAGCTGCCATATCCTGCCTAATTAAGTTCTTGTTAGGATTTTGGCCAGCCTGCTGGCTGCTGTGGCTGCAGCCAAGGCCAGCTGAGCCCAGCTTTGTGTGCCCAGAGAGGCTTTTGTGGGCTCCCAGCCCGGGTCACTGCACAGCCACATTTCCCGGCCCCGTTGCCATGGAGGCTTCAAAGAAAATGAAGTGAAGTGGAGCTGAGCTGAGCTGCTGTCCAGCAGGGCACTGCCAGGCCCTGGGGGTCACCTGGGCCTTGGAAATTCCCTGTCCTGGTCCCTGGGGCTGGGTGGGGTGTGGGTCCCTCAGAGATGCTGCGTGTCCTTTGTTTTTATCAGCTGGGCAGGCTTGGGGGGACCTGTGGCTTTCCCAGCTCCCCCAGTCCATATTCCCTTCCCTTGCTCAGCTGGAAGTGCTCCCATTATCTCCCTTCCACTGTTTTTAGAGAGAAAGATTTTGGAGTGGGATTGTCCTGTCTGGGACACTGCAGTGTTGGTGTTCACAGTGGCTCAAAGTTTAGGGTCCCCCTGCTTGTGGGGGCTGCTTTGGGGTGGGATGGGGGGAAGGAGAGGTGACCCCACAAGGGCAGTGTCAGGAAAGCACTGGGGGATGTTTTATCCCCAGGGATGGCTGTGTGGCTGTCCCTGCTCTCTCTGCCTGGCAGAGATGCCGCAGCAGCAGCCTGGGCCAGCCCGGCAGACATTTCCCTCTCCCCACCCTCCAGCAGCTGCTGCCTTGGCTCCTCGTTTCTGTGCTCATGGAACAGCCCTGCAGCATAAAGGCAGAGCCCTGGGGTGCTCCAGAGCCCAGAGCCTCACCCAGCCTGGCCTGGGCAGCCTGACAAGGCTGGGCTTTGCTTTCCGTGCTGCTGCTCAGGCTGGGGACAGCTCAGTGCAGTTCTCCCTTTTGTTCTGTGCCCCTGCTTTGTGGCTGCATGGCAGTGGCAGTGTCCCCCCTGGCAGTGTCCCCTGGCACTGTCCCTCTGTCCAGGCGCCATGGCAGGGCTGGGGGGCTCTGCAGGGCCAGCCCCCCCTGCCAGGGCACCCCAGGGCCAGGCCAGGCTCCTGTCCCTCACAGGGAGGGCTGCCAGCCCCTTCCACTGGGCTTTGCAGGCAGCAGGGAGCTTCTTCCCCAGCTTCCCTGGAGAGCTGGGAGATGCTGTGGGAGAGTTCCAGGGCACCTCTGGGCTGCAGGATGGGAAAAGTTTCCCAGCAGCCATCAACCATCGATGTAGGAGGCATTAGGGCCTTAAATTAAAGGCCTTTTTTTTCTTTCTTTTTTTTTTCCTTTTTTTTTTTTTTTTTTCCTTTTTGGTAAATTGATTTTTGCTTCCATGCATTTTTTATGAGCTTTGAGGCTCCATGTCCTTCCAGATTCCACTCTCAGTATCCTCCTCCTTGCTATCCATCTAACAGTGAAAACCACATTATAATTTACTTATTTCTCTCCTTTTCTAATGTTCTGGTCCTTCATTGTCCGGTGTTTATTCCCAGGGTGGGAGCTGCTCCTCCCCAGACAGTTTGGAATGAGGGATGTGCTGGTTTACAGAGCCCTGCCAAGATGTGCTGTGGGTGCAGGAGGGAAGGTGTCACCTCAGGCAGGTTCTGAGCCCATCCTCCCCCGTGTTCTGCCTGGTTTCTGAGGCTGGAGCAAAGTCCTGGTGTGCAGGAGGAGCTGCTGTGCACACTCTGAGCCTCTGGGGCTGCAGCAGCTCCTTCACTTCTCACCCACTGACCTTTCCAGCCAGGAATTCAAGCCGAACTTCCCATTTTCCCTGCTCAGGGCACATCCCCTGGCTCCTGTAGACACAGCATGGGTTTGATTCTTGGCGCTGTTCACTGACAAGCCAGGCTCTGTTCTTCTTGCTTTTCCCAGCCATCCATGCAGGGATATGTCTGCTGTGTGCTGTGCTTCCATGTGTGCTCTGGGGCTGGGGCACCCCTTTGGAAGCCTTGGGAGAGGCTGATTCTGGGAAAGGGAAACGCTGAGCCCTTCTAGGAACAGGATCCTTTGTGTTCTCTGACCTGGCAGCTGGGACTGGTTAATGTGGCACCGTGGTGGCTGTCACAGAGCTGCTGCTGACACTCAGGTGTGCTGGGCACCCTTGCCTGGCACCTCTGAGCCTGTTCTCCCTAAAATAGGAATGAGGCAGAAAAATGTGTCTGTGGGTATTTGTAACAACAGCCTTGGGGTCACACACACTTGCTCATTTCCCTCTTCAGTGCCTGTTGCACGTTCTGAAATGGGATTTCACCCCAAACCCAGTCTGTGCTGGTGGGAAAAGGCCATCCCAGCTCAGCTGCCTTCCAGCCAGTTGTTTTGTTGCGCTGTGGGTTTTATCACAGCACTCTGGACTTTCCCATGTGCTGTTGATTGGGATCTGGCTCTGCCAGGAGCTGTCAGAATGCTGTAACCTTGCCCAGGCCGCTCTGTGAGTCACTTTGGGGTGATGTTACCCTCTAGTGGCCTTTGGAGAGGGATCTGGGAGTGGCTGCTCCAAGGAGGAGCTGCCTGGTGGGCTGGGGGAGGCAGGATTTGTTTGTCATGGGGGGTTTTACACCAGCAGGTGCCCAGATCCATATCCCAAAGCCCAGGGTCAGGCTGCAGGGTGACTCCTGCTTTTCCTGAGCCACCTGTGTGAAATCCCTGCTGTGAAATCCCCAATCCTGCCCGTGCCCTGCCTGCTCCGGGCTCCACCCCAGTGCTGAGGGTCCCTTGTGTCTCCTCTCTGCTCCTTTTCCTCCTGGCACAGCCCAGGTGGATTCCCGGGTTAAAGATTTATCTCTGCAGCCCAGGTGTGATGGTGAGGAGCCAGCAGTGCCTCTGCCTGGCCAAAGTGCACTGGGCTGGGGGTGGTGGCTCCTGGTGCCGCCTGGGCACTCCCAGGGGCACATCAAAGGCCTGCTTATCTCTGCTTATCTCGAAGACAAACCCCTCAGGGATGGCCGGGCAGTGAGTGGGGAATAAGAATCAGACAAAAGCAGTGACAAAGATCTGACCCTGCTGCTCTTTGTGCTGCTCAGTAATTGCATCTCCCAGCTCCATCCCTCTCCTGCCTGTCCTTTTGTGCCAGCAAGTCCGAGCTATTCTGCCCCATTCTTGTTTTTTATTTTTCCCAGGGATGATCCCCAGCCCTCTCCCATCTCCATCCCTCACTGTTCCTGCTGCTCCACCTGCCTTCTGATTCATCAGAAAATCACTTCTTCCTGGAGATTGCAGTGTGTTCAGACCCTTCTGGGCTGCTCGTTTAGCTGGCCAAGTGACACGCTGTTACACAGGACCTGCCAGGGGATGGTCACATCCTTTCTGGAGGCCTTCAGCACAACCCCTTCCAAATCTGAGCCCCCTGAGCAATGAGCACTGCTGCTGGGATTGCTGCTCATCAGTGCTGCAGCCCCTCTGGGCCCTTTGGATTCCAGCTGGGAGAATTTCCTCATCTTTATCTCCCAGCAGCTTTGGCTCAGTGTTTATGGTCAGGACAGGCTGGAATGCTGTGCATTAATGCTTGGGGAGTGACAGGACCGAGTTTAACCAAGCCAGGGCAGTGCTGGTGCAAAGAGCAGAGCCTGGAGTGCTCTGGGTCCTGCGGGGCTGGGGAATCGCCAGTTTGGGCTGGGGCAGTGTCACCAGGCAGTGACAGGGACAGGTCGGTGGCTCCCACAGCCCCAGGCTGAGTTGCCCACTCAGGGGTTCCCTGTGGCACAAGGTGAGCTTTGCTTCCCGTGCCTGGGAGCTCTTCTGGTGCCTCCTGTGAGCTGCTGGCGCTGTGACAGGCAGGAGCTGGGGATTTCCTCGTTAACGAGCTGGCCTAATTACCTGCTGTGAGTGCCCTGCCAGCTGCCCAGAGTGCTCAGTCAATCACCTCGGGCTCCTGCCTGCAGTGCTGCTCTGGGGAGGGCTGTGCTCTCCTTCCTTGGGCTTCACCCTCACTCCTGCCCCTAAAACACCCAATTAAATTTATTTCTGCTCCCTCTGGGTGTCTGTGCACCCCCTGCCCCCGTGGCTGCAGCCCCCAGCTCAGCTGTGGGGTGTGAGGATGAGCCATTCCCTCTTTGGGTTTTCCTGGGAATTGCCTGGGGACAGGGACTGGAGCTGATATCCCGGATTTTGGGCACACAGGGGGTGCCAGGCAGGACTGCTGGCCTTCATTTCTTATTTTCTTCCCCTCAGGTCAATGTGATGGCCGTGAGCATCTGCACCCGGGAGGCCTATCAGTCCATGAAGGAGAGAAACATCGACGATGGGCACATCATTAACATTAACAGGTGAGCAAAGGGGGCTGTGGGGGCAGCCTGGGGCCCTTCCTGCTCCTCCCTGCAGCACAGAGAGGATTTAAGCACCGGCTGGGGTCAGCCTTGGGGGCTTTCTCCTCCTTACACTAAGGGTTTCAGCACTGGAGCTTCAGGCTTGCTGTGGTGCTGATGGGGATTCCTGAGGATTGTGGGGGTTGATGCTTCAAACTTGATCTTTGCTGGTTTAAAGGGAGTAAGACCAAACCAGGGAGATAAGGATACTCTAAATGAGGGAGGAAAGGATACCCCAAACCAGGGAGAAAAGGGTGATGCCACCCCCTGCTGATGGGGCAGGGCTGGCATTTGGTTTCTGGAGCTGCTCAGGGAGGTTTGGCTGTGCCTGTCCCCCGCTGCAGCCCCGTGCCAGCCCCCAGTGGGTTCATTGTGGTGCCCTGAGTGCCCTGGGGTCCCTGCCAGCTGCCAGCAGCGTGCCCTGTGCTCTGTCCCCAGCATGAACGGGCACAGCGTGGTGCCCCAGTCCGTGGTGCATTTCTACAGTGCCACCAAGTACGCGGTGACAGCGCTGACCGAGGGGCTGCGGCAGGAGCTGCGCGAGGCCAGGACCCACATCCGAGCCACGGTGAGAGCCAGGGCCCTGGGCTGTGAAAATGGGCTCAGCACCCTGGGGATGGTCAGGAAATCCTGTGGTGCTCTGTCCCAGGCAGGTGGGGGCACAGAAGGTCTGGGAAGGGATTTTTGGGCTGCACAGAGTGGGAAGTTGCTTTTTGGAGGGGTCACATCAACAGAAGGAGGCTCTCAGCTGGGCTGTGGGTGCTCAGTCAGAGCTTTTCCATGTTTTTCTTTGCTTCTCTGTCCCTCTGGGCTGTGAGGAGGGAGGTGCCCACCAGAGGTACCTGCCACAACAATCAGTAAGGTTTGCTCACTTCAACTGGTCCCTTAAAAATGGGTGGGAAAGGAGAGTAACAAAAAATGATTTTTTTTTTTTTTATTCTTTTAGGGGAATTACAAATCCTATTAGGATGTGCTCTGCTTTTTTCCAGTGTATATCTCCAGGACTGGTGGAAACAGGATTTGCTTTTAAACTGCATGATAATGACCCCGAGAGAGCTGCTGCCACCTACGAGAGCATTCGGGTAGGACCTGGGGCAGTGGGAGCAGAGGGAAGTGGCTCTGATTATAATTGAGCATTTCTCCTGGCTGATGGTTCCAGGGAGTGCCCAGTGCTCTCCAATCTCAGCCCTCAAACCTCACATTTTCCAGTGGTATTTACACACTGTGTAGGTTTTTATTTGGGTTCAGTTTCCAGCTCCTTCTATTTTTCCTTTTATTTTGATGTTTCTGTGAATCAGTGTCAGTCAGCTTTGCCATTCTGCAGGCTGTGACTTCTTCATTGTAGAGGAGATGGGACAAGCAGAGGTGCCAGCACAAGGAGAAGTGTTCTGCAGGTGGCAGGGAATTTCCTGTGGGAATTCCTGACAAGGATGGCAGAATCCCTGTGCCAGCAGTGAGATTATCCACAGCAGATTATCAGCACCAGGCACATCCTCTGTTACATTTCCAATGCACTGGGTATTTCCTGCTTGCTTGTCCCTCCTGGCCGTGCCCCAGTGACGCTGTCAGACCTCATCAGGGATGGGCAGGAGAGGAGGGATCTCCTGGGGAGCTCTGGGGGTGCCCTCTGACCCAGAGCCCCTCTGCTGTCGTTGCAGTGTCTCAAGGCTGAAGACATGGCCAACGCTGTCATCTATGTCCTCAGTGCCCCTCCTCATGTCCAGGTAGGCTGGGGCTGGGGCTGGGGAGGGGCTCAGGGCTGCCCTGGCCTGGCTGATCTGCTGCTGGATCAGCTGGGAGCTTAGGGAGCCTGTGCTGGGGATTAGCAGGGATCACGTTTGTTTACACTTCCAGCTCTGGGATGGCACTGCTGAGGATCTGGGATTGCTCAGGGTGTGGGATGGCTCTGGGATGGCACTGCTGAGGATCTGGGATTGCTCAGGGTGTGGGATGGCTCTGGGATGGCACTGCTGAGGATCTGGGATTGCTCAGGGTGTGGGATGGCTCTGGGATGGCACTGCTGAGGATCTGGGATTGCTCAGGGTGTGGGATGGCTCTGGGATGGCACTGCTGAGGATCTGGGATTGCTCAGGGTGTGGGGTTGCTCAGCTCATCAGGCTCAGCCCTGGTCACAGCGTAGAAGTGCCCAGTGCAGAGCTCCAGTGCAGGATTCCAGTGCAGGATTCCAGTGCAGGATCCCAGGATTCCAGTGCAGAATTCCTGTTCCATGCCACACTGCTCTCTTGCAGATTGGGGATATACAGATGAGGCCCACGGAGCAGATCTCGTAGCAGGGCAGGAGGATGAGGAGGATGAGGAGCACCATGAGCAGCACATGCCCACTCCACCTGGAGCCCTCTGGCAGCCCAAGCTTCCCTCAGCTGGCTGGCAGCGTTTTAATCAAGTACCAAGGATCATGTCTGAAGAATTGTTTTTCTCTCCCTCTCTCTGAGCTGGTGCTGGTGCTGAGCCAGTTGGAAAAAAAAAAAAGAACCACAAACTTGTAGTGGGTCTCTTTCTCCCCCACTCCTTTCTGGAACTGCTTGAGAGTAAAAATGTGTTTGAGAATAATGCAGGGAAGTGGTTTGTGGAAGATGGTTTGTCTCCAGGCTGGTTTATTCTTCATTTTGCTTTCTTATCAAGGTTTGTTTGATCTTAGTTGCTGATGCTGTGTGTGGACCTAGGTGAAGTGGCACAAGATGTTTGCCAGCTTCAGTGTGCTTGGGGTTTGAGATTTTCAGTGGACATGATACATGAATCCATCTAATACTCTGAGTTTGTTTTCATCAGGTTGATTACTGATGGTGGTGATGCATGTGATATTTTCCATTTCTTTTGTACTCCACTGCCCCAACCCCAGTGTACAACCTCCCCCAGCCCTCCTTTCCCCTTCACATGGCTCATTCCTGCCAAGTTTGAGGAAGTATAAATGTGTGTGCTTGATATTTCTCTTTTTTTCTAGGTAGGTAAATAGTTGAAGGAAAAGCACCTGTCCCTGTGCAGGTTAGGATGATAATCTAAGTGGCATAGTTGCAGTAAGAGTGAGTTGTTTGGTATTTTTAATAAAAACTAAACGTGTGCTGTCTTGTGACCACCTCTATCCTTGGTGTCATCTCCCAGCACTCTCGATGTTCTGTGTGTGATATTTGCATGCATTGACACTTTTCTGCAAACGTGGATTGCTCTGGTGCTGTTGAAATGCTGGTGCTGAGGAGCTGGAAATGGTGGAGGTTTATTTTTATGTAGAGACACAAACTCTGAGAGAGAGAGAGAGAGAGAGAGATAGAATGGAACAAGCCCTGCTGAAGGTGTCTGGAACGAGGAGGGATTTGCAGATTTGCAGGGGCCTTTTGGCCACAGAAAGCAGCAGGGGAAGGGTCTGGCTGAGATCCTGTGCTGGTGCAGCCCCAGTGTCTGGCTCTGGGTTTACTCTGAGTTGAGGGAGAGGAGATCTGGCCCCAAAGCAGAGCTGGATTTGTCTGGAGGCTCTCTGCAGGGAGGTCTGTGTGTGCCCAGCTCTCCAGGGAGCTCCTGGGCACGTTGCCTTAAGATTGCAGACCCTGTCCAGCTCCTGCTGGGCTCCAGGAGGTCAGGGATGGTCAGAGCAGAGGACAGAGAGCTGGGAAGTTGGGGTTGGATTGTTTGGCTTACACCAGAAGAGCCCTGGGAGTTCATCTGTGCCAGCCCTGCACAGGGCAGGGCAGAGCTGGGCCAGCAGGACACGAGTTCAGCTCCCTGTACAGCCTTGGGCAAGTCACTTTACCTCTCTGCCTCAGTTTCCCCATCTGGAAGTGGGGATAATGACACTCACCTACCTCACAGGGGTGTTGTGAGGACTCACAAGCTTTTGTAAAGCACTTTGACAGGCGCTGTGTAAGTGCTGAGTGTTGCTATTGAAGTATTGTTATGAATTAAACCTTGTCATACCTAGAATTCCTTGTGCCAAAGGTGAGCAGCTGTAGGAGGATACAAGGAGAAAACTGGCAAAATGTTCCTTTCATGATGGCAAAAACAAAAGGCAATTTACCCTTTTTTCCCCCTTTCTTAACACATGGTTTGTTCTGTCCATTGTGTCCATTCACCAGTTTTTACTGGCAAGTGCACCTGGATTTGGCTTTTTAATTTATGGTGAGTGAAATCCCTGCACTGCCCTGCTCCAGGATGCCAAGGTGGTGCCTTTGTGTGCATTCCCAGCAGGTGCCCTGTGTGCCATCTTTAGGGAAGGTGGTTGAACTACTAAAGAGGCCAAAAGAAAAAGAAAAAATAGAGAAATTAGGAACTTCTGAGCAGGGATGTGGGCAGCGGTGGTGAAACATGGAATTGTGGCAGCAATTCTGTGCGAAGTTCACAGATGTTGCAATGTGTGGCTGAGGAGGGCCTTCACATCTCCCTGTGCTGTAAAAGGAGGATTTGGAGAGAATTGCTGAAGATGCAGAACCCTGACAAAGGGTTTGTCCAGGTAGTTGCTCCCTGCAAATACAACCTGGCAGCCCTGCAAGTTGTTTTTTCTTTTTCCCCCAAGAACATTTGTAATCTCTGAAGTCACCTCGAGGTGACGTGCAGTATATTTTTCCATTTGAAGTGTGGGTTTAGGGGATCATCCCTGCTGCCTGTTAACCTCCCCCACAGGAGGGCTCCTCGGGTGGCCTTGGTGGCACCTCCTGCCACCTCCCTGGGATGAGATGGGACCCCACCCCGCGGCAGTGACACCCCTCAAACGCCAGGATCGGTGCCCTGTGTAATTTATCAGTAGGTTTCTATTGTGAACTGTAAAATAAAGAATAAAAAGAGAGGCACACTGTGGCTCGTCTGTGGCGTGTTTTGTTATTTTTGTGTTAAACCTGAACAGCCTTTTTGCTGTTCACACCCAAAGTTTTGTTTGGGGAACGACCCAAACAGAATCCTTCCCTTTGGGGTCTTTATGGGGAAAAGCAGAGTTTGTTTCCAGAGCTGGACAGCATCCAGTTGTGTTGGGGTGACCTGTGGGGTCTGGCTGGGGACAGCTCTGGGATGCTCCGTTCCTGGGCTGTTCCCGGTGCCCGGGGGTCTGTCCGGGGTCACTGGGGCTCTCTATTCCCGGTACCTGGGGTCTGTCTGGGGTCTCTGGGATTCCCTATTCCTTGTACCCGGGATGTGTCCAGGGGCTCTGGGATTCCCCGTTCCCGGAGTCTCTCCGAGAGTTCTGGGATGCTCCGTTACCGGTAACCGGGGTCACTGGGGTTCTCCGTTCCCGTTCCCGGGGCTCTGGGATGCTCCGTTCCCGGGCTATTCCCGGTACCCGGCGTCACTGGGGTTCCCCGTTCCCGGGGCTCTGGGATGCTCCGTTCCCGGGCTGTTCCCGGTACGCGGGGTCACTGGGGTTCCCCGTTCCCGTTCCCGGGGCTCTGGGATGCTCCGCTCCCGTTCCCGGTATTCCCGCCGGCCGCCAGGGGGCGCTGCCGGCCGGGGCGTGCCGGCGCCGCCGGAACCGGAGCGGGGCCCGCGCGCGTGTCCGCGGCTCCGGTGCTCCACCGGGGTCCCCGCCTGGTCCCGTCCGTGCCCCGGCTGCGGAGCGGGGCTGGCTGTTTCCCCCACGCCATGGAGCGGGCGCTGCTGCCCCTGCTGTGCCCGCGGGCCCTGCGGCTGTGCCGGGCCCCGCTCCGGTTCCGCTCCAGCCGCGGGGCTGAGCAAGGAGCGCCCCGAGGCCGCGATCCCCCGGAGGCTTCGGGGGCCGGGCGGGGGTCGCGCACCGGGCGGGAGCTGTGGCGGGCACAACAAGACTCGCCCCGGGCCGGCACGGGGAAGGGGCTGGGGCGAAAGGCGGCGCCGGCCCTGGAGAGAACCAAAGGCTCGGAGATCGTGTTCGGGGTGGCCCCGTGCTGGCTGGCGCTGGCCCGGGCGCGCAGGGCGCTGTTCCGGCTGTTCCTCAAGGAGCAGCGCGGCGGCCCCGGGCGACCCCTGAGGGCCGAGCTCGCCCTGCAGGCCGCGGCCCGCGGGGTGCCCGTGCTGCACGTCCCGGGCCGGGCGCTGGACACGCTGTGCCGGGGCCGGCCCCACCAGGGAGTGTGCCTGGAGGCCGCCCCGCTGCCCTTCAGGAGCCTGCGGGACGCGGAGGAGAGAGATGGAGAGAGCGGGGAGCGGCAGCTGCTGTGGCTGGTGCTGGAGCACATCCAGGACCCCATGAACCTGGGGGCTCTGCTGCGCTCCGCGTACTTCCTGGGGGTGGACAGAGTGGTGGCGACACGCAGCAACAGGTACGGGACACAGAAACAAACAGGGATGGGCCACAGAAACAGGTAACGAGACACAGAAACAGGTAACGAGACACAGAAACAGATAATGAGACACATAAACAGATAATGAGACACAGAAACAGGTAATGAGACACAGAAACAGGTAACGAGACACAGAAACAGATAATGAGACACAGCAACAGGTACAGGCCACAGAAACAAACAGGTACGGGCCACAGAAACAGATAACAGGACACAGCAACAGGTATGGGCCACAGAAACAGATAATGAGACACAGAAACAGGTAACGAGACACACAAACAGGTACAAGACACAGAAAGTACAGGCTCCTCCAGCCCCCTTTTCCCCCCAGACAAGTTTGCAGCCTGCATCACTCAGCTGTTGTTTAGGGAGATTTTTGGGGCTGATCTCTAGAGTAGGATTTGGGATGCTGCTGCTCGGCAGGCAGGCTGTGGGATGTGGGATTCCAGGCTCTCCCTGGACTCTCCTTGTTTAACCCATTCTGTGTTTCTGTTGTCCCTCCTGTGACCCGTTTCCTGGGTTAGTTCCTGAGCCCTCCTATTCTCTGTAGGAATACACATCCATGTAGTGAGTGGGATCTAAAAATTCGCCTGCATTTCCCCTCGTGTGACACTTGTCCATCCTTTTCCCCTTGCAGCTGTCCCTTGACTCCCATAGTGAGCAAAGCCAGTGCTGGAACCATGGAGGTCTTTGATGTGTACAGCACAGATGATCTGCCGGGCTTTCTGAAGGTACAGTGAGCCACTTTAATTTTATTTTTCCTTTTTTTCAAGGAAACGGAAACACTGAGGGTATGACATGCGGTGTCTGTGCTGGCACACCCCCAACCCCACTCCATCGGGTAGGGGGAGAGGGTGGCTGTTTGTTCTGGGAGCTGGAGGTACCAGGATAACCCTGGAGCTCTGGGGATGCCGGGGTTTGTCTCCCTTCTCCTCGGGATTGTGGCACAGCAGCATCCCGGGGCCCAGCACACGATGGCAGCATTGGGCAGCCTTTGGAGCAGGGAACAGAGGAGGAACCAGGGCTGGGGGGAGCTGATGGGAATGTTTTTTCCCTATGCAGTGAGGTGTGACAGGGAGCCCTTTGCAGGTAAAAATTGAAGGCATGCCAAAAAAAAAAACCCTAGACAGCTTAACTGAAAATGTGAAAAACAGAGTGCTTGCATACATGAGTTCTTTTTAAGCTTGAGTAATTGGCAATTCTTGATTTGTTTCCTTTTCTAGGCCAAAAGTGCAGAAGGCTGGGCAGTGGTGGGAACAGCCAGCAGGCCTGAGGATGTGGAAGGTGTTCCTGTCATCAGCTGCTCGGAATTCCGGTGGGACAAACCCCTCATTGTGGTGATAGGTACAGCCATTTCCAGAGCTGGGGGCTGGGGGGAGGATGGGAACCACTCCAGGTGTTCTTACAGGTCTGGAAAGGAAAAGCTGAGAGGGAATCCTGGAATGGTGTGGCTGTGAATGAAGCAGGGGCTGGGAGGAACGGGGGGAGCTGAGGGAGCTCCCAGCAGGAGCAGTTTGTGGATGCACTCAGAATTCAGCAGCTGAGGAGGATCTGGGGGGCAGTTTTGGTGCCAGGGCAGTCACAGGGTGGTGTTTGCTTTGTGTTCTGTGTTTTGATGTGTGCTGGAGCCCCAGGTGTGGATTTTCTGTGGTGGTGAGCCCCAAGAGGTGTTTGCTGTTCATGGACAGAGCTGCTTGGGGAGAGCTGTGCCACATTTCCCCTTAAAAACCAGGAATGTCTGGGCTGGGAAGAGCCACCAGGGGCTGGGCATGGTGTGGGTGCAAAGCTGGGCATGGTGTGGGTACAGAGCTGGCCATGGTGTGGGTGCAGAGCTGGCCATGGTGTGGGTGCAGAGCTGGGCTTTGCAGCCACCCCTGAGAGCAGTCAGGGCACACCTGGGAGAGGTGCTGGCTGTGGGGCAGGAGCAGAGGATTCTGCAGTGGCTGCCACTCCCCTGAGCACTGAGCTGGGCAATCCCTGCAGGGAGTTCTGCCCACTGTCTCACCTTCTGTAGGCACAGTCTGGGCTTGTGCAGCCTCCCAGAAGGTGAAGGGAAGGGGAGCAGCAGCTTTGTGGCAGCTGGAGAAGGAAATTCCCCCAGGAATGCAGCTCCAGGCACCTGTGTGTGGCCGTGCCATGTCCCCCACTCCTGTCACCTGGCACAGGAGCTGGCTGGAGCTTTCACACAGAGTCCTGCTGGCCAGGAGCCAGGGAGGGGCTGCAGTCCTGCCCCGTGCTGGGGCCGCCTTGGCTCGGAGGATATTCCTTTAATTAAAATGTTTATTGAGCTCCTGGAAACACTGACAAGACAACGCTGCAAATCTGGCATCTCTACAAGATGTGTGGAGCTGTATTCCAGGGGGAGCAGGGGGGCTGGCAGCTCTGCTGATTGCCCACAAAGAAATGCATCCCACAAACGGCGCCAGCACCCGCACACAGGCAGGGCTGGGAGCGGCAGCGGCGTCGTTACCGTGAGTTATGAGAGATTTCTCCAGGAAAAAGCCCAAATATCCTTTTGTCAGGGGAGATTGGAGGCTGATTGGTAGATGCATGAGGAGAGCTCCCGGACCTTGCAGCAGTAATGATTTCAACTCTCTGCTGAGCACTAACTCTTGGCTGGAAAGAAAATTGAACATTACGGTCGCCCGGTGCTGGGCTGGTTGGGAGGAACGTCCTGGATGTGAATATGGAGCATTGCTGCAGCTGCAGGGAGCAGCAGAGATAATTCAGCCTGGGACTGAGCTCCCTGGCACCACACAGATTGTCTTGTAAGTTAAGCATTTGCAGGCTGCAGTTCCCCCTCCTGGCATCCTCGCTGCCTTGGCAGAGAGTGATTTGGACAGTCCAGCTTAATGCTGTCTGCACTGGAGTCATTGCTGGAGGCGACAGACAGCTCAGACTGGGAGCCTGGTGTACAAGGAACAGATTGGGAGCACTTAGATGGCTGAGTAAGAAGAGTTTCTGGGTAATTTGTTCTTCTTAGACCTTCAGTCTTTAGCTCGGGGTTTAAGGCTCTTCACAGAGCTGCTGGTTTTATGGAGATGTTAATTTTGTATATTTTTCTGCTGCTGGCTCTGAATTTCCTGCACTGGGAGCTGCAATTGTGAGTGGTGTTAATTGTAAATGGGGCAGGAAATGTGTTTTGTCATTTCTCCAAGCTCTGGTCTTTGAGCTCTGTCAGTGAGGGACGAAGCTGAGAGGTGCAAGTTAAAGATCTGAAGTGGGAAGTGTTTTGTTCACCAGTCTAAAGGAGGATTTCATCTGATTCAGTCAATACTCCCTCCCTTGTGTCACACTGTGCAAGTCTTTTTGCCCTGAATTTATCTCTCCTAATTATTTTAAGCAGCCAGGGCCATAAAAAGCTTTGTAAAAGCTGGAGGCAAAATTGGTGTCTTTATTGGGAATTGCAAGACCCTTCCTTATGAGGGGCAGGAGAGGATTTCTGCAGGAGCCGTTGCTGCTGTCCCAGTTGGAGAGTCCTGAGGGAGTGTGGTTGGAGAGGCTCAGGAGGTAAGGTGTAAAACCTTTCCAGGACAGTATTTCTGGTTTTCTGAGCATCCCTGGAGTGGTGAGGAGACAGGCAGGGCCATGGGAGGCCTGGCTTTGATTGCTGGTGTCACCCTGGGACCTTGGGTGAGTCCTCCAGGCCTTGTGTGCTCTGCTGGCTGTTACAGCAGGAGGAAAGATGGGTCAGGATGGGGTCTGGGGCTTCTGAGGGCTCACTGAGCCCAGCCACAGGGCTTTGGCCATGACTGGTTCCATCTGGGAAGGTGATGCAGGATGCATCACCCAGAGCATCTTCTTCTTACCCAAAGTGCAGCCCAGTAAAACATGAGGGGAAAAACCACCTGGGAACGATGGCAGTTCCATCCCTGTGTGCTCAGGGGAATGATGGCAGTTCCATCCCTGTGTGCTCAGGGGGATCAGGGGGCCCTGGCAGTGCCATCCCACCCTGGTGTGGGGCTCAGCCAGGCAGGGCAGGGCTGCTGGAGGGGTGCCACGTGCTGGCCCTGTTTGCCAGAGGTGTTTGGGATGAGCTGGCCATCCCTGCAGCCCTGCAGCTGCCTGTGCTGCTCTAAATAACAATGTGGGAGAATTCTTTGGGGAGCCAGGCAGGCTGGGAGGTCCAGGGCCCTCTGCATTTTCACCTGTCTGCACACAGCATTGTTTAAAGCCTCTCCCTTTCCATTTCCCTTTGTGACAGTGTGAGTCAAACAACTACTAATGACCTGGGATAGATTTCAACTCTGTTTCACCAGTGTATCAGCCCAAACACATCAGGGCTGCTGCCTGCTTTAACAACTAATCAATTGAAGCCTCTGGTTAAACTGTCTGCATGCACAAGCTGCACCCAGCCCATGGAGTGTGTGTGTGTGTGTGTGTGTGTGTGTGCTGGGAAGGCTGGAGCTGTCCCTGGCAGTAGGGATGTGGGGTTTGGTGTCCCTGGCAGTAGGGATGTGGGGTTTGGTGTCACTGGCAATAGGGATGTGGGGTTTGGTGTCCCTGCAATAGGGATGTGGGGTTTGGTGTCACTGGCAATAGGGATGTGGGGTTTGGTGTCCCTGCAATAGGGATGTGGGGTTTGCTGTGTCTGGCAATAGGGATGTGGGGTTTGGTGTCACTGGCAGTAGGGATGTGGGGTTTGGTGTCCCTGGCAGTAGGGATGTGGGGTTTGGTGTCCCTGCAATAGGGATGTGGGGTTTGGTGTCCCTGGCAGTAGGGATGTGGGGTTGGTGTCACTGGCAATAGGGATGTGGGGTTTGCTGTGTCTGGCAATAGGGATGTGGGGTTTGGTGTCACTGGCAGTAGGGATGTGGGGTTTGGTGTCCCTGGCAGTAGGGATGTGGGGTTTGCTGTGTCTGGCAATAGGAATGTGGGGTTTGGTGTCACTGGCAGTAGGGATGTGGGGTTTGCTGGGGCAGAGCTGGCCTGTGCCCCCTTGGCTGCCCTGTCCCTGTGCCCACGGGGAGCTCTCTGCTGGCACCCTGCTCCCTGTGGGGTTTCTGTGGTGCATGGATATTCCTCAAAACCACTTCAGGTGCTGGGGAACAGATCCAGGGATGTGGCTGCACTGAGAAGGAATGATGAGGAGGACTCCACTGATATCAGAAGGCTAAATAATTACTTTATTATACTGTATTATTCTATACATCTAAACAGAATCTGCCAAGCACTCAACCCTGCACACATTGCACTGGTCAGTGACAGTCCTCACACACACACACACACACACCTGGTCCTGACAGGCCAAGGAACCAAAGCCCCATCACTGTGGGTAAACAATCTCCACATTGTATTCTCCTGTGGCACAAACATAGGCACAGCAGATGAGATAAGAATTGTGTTTTCTTTCTCTGATGTTCAGAGATTGTGAAACCCAGCAATGCTCTTGGGAAGAATTGTGCCTTGCTTTTCTTTGTGAAATGTGGGGCTTGGTTTTCTCTGTGAAATGAGGGTGCCAGGCTCCCTCTGGGGCCCAGCTGCTGTGTGGAGCTGCTGAGGTGGCTGAGCTTGGGGAGGGTGTCACACACAGAGAACTGTGACAGGAGCTGCACTGGGGAGGGGAAGGGAGGTGCTGGGCTGAGCTGAGCAGTGTGTGTGTCCTGCAGGCAGTGAAGGGGAGGGCATTTCCCTGCAGACCCAGCTGCAGTGCCAGCAGATGTTGGCCATCCCCCCTGGCAGGGCGCTGCACCCCGGCATCGACTCCCTCAACGTCTCCGTGGCTGCAGGTGAGAGCAGTTCTGGGCACCAGGTACCAACCCCTCAGCTTCTGCACTTAACATCCAGGCCCACTGAATGGTTTTCTTGTGGTGTGGAAAAAAAATAAAATCCCTTAATATTTATTTTATAATATTTATTTTATAATATTTATTTTATAATATTTACTTTATAATATTTATTTTATAATATTTATTTATATTTGCTTTCCTACAGGTATCCTCCTGCACTCCATCTGCAGCCAGAAACGGAGGCATGGAGATTGAAATCCTCTTTCTGTGGTGGGGGAAGCTGCTCAGTGTGGGTATGGAAATGCTCTTCCCAGGGTCTCCACCATCACTGTGACTTCCAGGGAGAGCCCAGAGACCTGAGCTGCATTTTGGCTGCTGCAGAAGCCACCAGATCCCTGACTCAACACCCAAGGCAGACCCCTGATGTTGTGGGTAACAGCTGGGAGGAGCAGCTGAGGGAAGGCAGGCAGGTCTGGGAGCAGGAGAACACCAGGGGTGGCTCCAGCACCTGTGCCCTGGGGACTTTGTGCATCCCTTGGACTGTGGGGACGGTTTGGGCTGTGGGTGAAAGAGCCCTGTGCCCTCCCCAGCTGTGCCTGGGAGCCTCTGGAGCTGGATTTTCTGGATTTGGTTGTAAACCAGGTGTGCAGCCCTGCCAAGGGCTGGCAAACATCTGGAGTGGGGGGGAAATGGAGCCCGTGGAAATAAAGCTTTTGTAAAGATTGGTTGTAGACTCAAATTAATCCATTTTGTGTTGTGTAAATGCAGAGTGTGATTGGTCCTTCAGGTGGGAAGAGGGATGTGGAGCTCGGTTCCTTCTGGGGAAGTTTCCTTTCCAAGCTGGGCTGATCCTCTTGGGGCTGAGATGCCCCAGGACCAGTGTCCTGCTGGTGGCTTCATTTGCAGCTCTCCTGCTTGAAAATCCAGGCTGGCTAAATTATTGAGAGCCAAAAGAACGTTATCACTTAGCACCTTAATTATTTTATTTAGCTACCGTGGCCCTGTGCATAGGATTCCTCATTAACACTTAATTTACAGTGCCCTTTAGGGATAATTTCAAACAATTCCGTTCAGCCTGCCCCCTCCCCACTTCCAAATGAATAAGTAAATCACTCTCAGTGACTAATTAGGACTTTTATTTGAACTAAATGAAGTCTGTAAGCCCCGGTCTGGGGGTGTGGGGGTGTTTTCTGTGTCCCTGGTGGCACTGGCGACACTGCAGGTGCCTGGGATGGGGGACAGGAGCTCCTGGAAGGTGTCCAGGGCTCCCTTCTGTGGCTGTGAGGGAGAGGAGGGTGCCTGGGGTGTGTCCTGAGGAGAAGGACAAATCCCAAACCCCTCTGAAGTGACCCCATCATCCAAACAGGGCTGTGTGACCCAAACCCACAGGGAGAGCCCTGAGCTGGTGTCTTGTGGCTGAGCGCTGGTGCATTTTGGGGGCTGAATCTGCCCTTTTTTTGGTTTAAAGCTGAGAGGGAAAGGCTGCAGGCCCAGAGGAGCTGCTCAGCAGCCCAGGGTGCCCCAGCAGAGGGGGCCCGTGGCTCAGATTTGCTCATTTCCAGAGCAAAGATTCCAGGATCCAGCACTGGGCTGGGTGAATCCTTCCTCTGGAGCAGCAGGGATCAGGGTGAAGCCATTTCTCCCTCCCTCACCCACAGCTAAGTGCATTCATTTCCCATCTCACAGGAGCTGCTGTTTCTCCCTTTTTGTTTCTGCGTTTCAGGTTTGTCCCAGCAGTGGGGAGGCACTCCTGGCTCGGTGTGCCTGGGGAAGCTGGGCTCTGTCAGGCTGTGCCATCTGCTCAGCCCCTCCATCCAGGAGGCAGCTGGGGAGCCCTGCAGCCGCTCCTTTGCTCCTGGAAGGCTCCCAAACCCCTTTGGGACCTCTGTGTGCCCTGCAGTGGAGGAGAAGCTCCTGCTTGGCCACCTCCATCTCCACTGCCCAGTGAATTCCCACTCCTGTACCCATGGAACACCTTGCTTTGGCACTGGGGTGTCAGACAAGGCTTTTGGGGGTTGCTTGAGCTTGAATTTCAGGATTTGAGAGCATAACTTGGACTTTGCTGCTTGTGAGGGCACTGAGTCCCCCTCTGGGTGGCTCTGCTGGTCCCTCTGATCCCATTTCCCTCTCTGGTAAGTTTTAGCCCCATTTTCCCCACCTTGCAGTGCCTTTTGGATGGAGCTGATGCTTTGTCCTCCTGTCCCAGCCCCATCCTGAGGCTCTGAGGAGCTCAGGGACCTCTGCTGTCTCCCACCTTTGGTGCTGGAGCTCTGTGCTGTGCCATTTGCCCCTGATCTAACAAATGCAATCCATTAATTGGATCATTGCCTGCTCCTCCAGTTAATTTCCTGGATATTTTTAAATGTTAAAATGTCGTTTTTATAGTCTTTCATTATTTTTAGCCCTAAGCTTGAGTATAATCGTCCCTGTAATGTAACTGTAAAAAACTCCCAGCTTTATATCATAAAGGGGGACATTAATTGCCATTTCTTGTGTACATCAGCAAGATCAAAACACGTTTCCTGATTACTTCTGTTTGTACATAGAGTCTCTTTGATATTTAGATATGAATAAAGTGTGTGTGTGTAATTTGAAAGTCAATTCTTCCCTCCCTGCTGCTTGTCATGGATTCATTTCAGAGGCTTATTTACCAAATTGATTTTAAAATTTACTAATTGCCCTTCCAGAATGATTTCTCAATAATCAAAGTGTCTCTAAGCACAGTGGCAAAATATTTGTCCTCCTGGATTCACAGGATGAGTTCAGCACCAGCACTGCCTTATCTCAGCCAGGGGGAACACCAATCTCCCATCTCCCAAAATCCACCCTGGGGAGCCTGGCTGGGAGAGCAGCTCAGCTCCTGCCCCACGTTTGCCTTTTGTGCTCAGCACCCCACTACTGGAGAAATCCCATTCCCCCCAGTCCAACACCTGGAGAGATCCCATTCCACCCAATGCAACTGGAGAAATCCCATTCCCCCCAATTCAGCTGCAGAAATCCCATTCCACCCAATCCAGCAACTGGAGAAATCCCATTCCACCCAATCCAACAGGAGAAATCCCATTCCCCCTAATCCAACTGGAGAAATCCCATTCCTCCCAATCCAACTGGAGAGATCCCATTCCTCCCAATCCAACTGGAGAAATCCCATTCCCCCAGTTCAGTGCTGGGTCCCAGGGATGCTTTGGAGGCTGGAATGGCTCTGGGACAGGGAACAAACACCTTTCCCTCTGCAAAGGCCAGGCTGGTGGCAGGGGAAGGGAATGCTGCTGGGAATGCTGCTGAGGATGGGATTGGGAATCCTGATGGAGCTGGGAATGATGCTGGGGCTGGGAATGATGCCGGGGCTGGGAATGATGCTGGGGCTGGGAATGATGCTGGGGATGGGAATGATGCTGGGGATGGAATTGCTGCTCAGACTGGGATTGGGATTGCTGCAGGAGCTGGAGCTGGGATTGCTGCCCACGGGGCGCCCCCAGAACGCACAGCCCCGATCCCGTTTGTGAATGTAATCAACCTTGAGGTCTTGTTCCTTCCACAGGTGCAATTAACATCACCATCTGCTAATCCGTGATTAACGATGTTTACAAATAGGCTGCAGCACGGGAAAGTGGGCTGGCACTCTTTGGGGCTTTTTTCCCCTTTATTTTTTAACATGGATTGCCCCATGGAATGCTCCCCCCACCCCTCCATTAATTCCCAGACATTTTGCATTTCCCTTATTTAAAAGTGCTGTTAAAACTCCAAACCAGCTGCAGGAATGAAGGGTTCACATCATAAGGTCAGTGCTGCTAAATGGGATTTAATTGCACGGGGGTTGAGGTACAAACTGATGAATCTGAATGATAAAACTTTGTGGGGAGCAACATATGGTGCAGCTTAAAGTAAATTTTTATCGATCATCCCAGAACTGATGTGTTAAAGGGATGGCAGCCTTTGCTTTGGGTTTGATATCGACGTGGAGTTTTAATAATGGCACACAGGAATATTGTGGAGGGGTTTATAGTTTAAAATAATAATAAAAATAGAGAGTGTTTTCTATTAACTGCCTTCTTGTCTAGCAGAGAGGAATACATTACAAGGCTGCTGTGTCCTCCAGATCTAGGTGACATGTAATTGCTCAGTAATTGGTAGAACCATGTCAAAGCCATGGTATTTGCCAGCAAACCCTCCTAAGTTACCATGAAATTGGAGTGTGATATTTATTCTGTACAAAACTGTCTGCCCAAATGCTGTGTGGGATCTGGTGGTCAGTGCAGGGGAGTTCCTGCAGGATCCTTTAACCTCCCTGGGCCTCAGGGGTATCCACCCTGGATAATCCTGGACTGGTTTGGGTTGGGAAGGGAGCTCAGAGCTCATCTCATCCCACCTCCCAATAATAATAATAATAATAATAATAATAATAATAATAATAATAATAATAATAATAATAAACATAATAATATTATTATATATAATATTATAAATATATAATAATATATAATATATCATATATCATATAATACTATATATTATTATATTATAATATATAATATAATATAATATTATTATATATAATAATATATTATATATTATAATATATATATTTTATAATAAATAATATAATACTATAAATAATAATAATAATAATAATAATAATAATAATAATAATAATTATTATTATTATTATTATTATTATTATTATTATTATTATTATTATTATTATTATTATTATTATTATTATTATTATCCTCTAATTGTTACAGCTGTGTCAAGGCTCAGGTCAACACGATGGGAGCTTGAAGTTCTCATGTTTTCAGTGGGCAGGGAGCAGTAATTACACGTGAGGTTGGTCATAGGTAAGAAGCTCAGTTTGATTACACCAAGGAGTCACATTGCTATCAGCTGTGTGATATGAGGCAACGTTTAAATGAGGGCCATCTTCTGCTAGAAAATGACAGAAGTAACAGGTATCCATAGTTAATGAGCCTAGGAGTTCTAGCTCTTGGAGGTCAGATTGATCAGCTTTAGAATTATCAATATAACCAATAATATATAATATAAAAACTTATATAATCAATATAATTTTGGTGTTTCTGGCTGGGAGTTGGACACGTGTGATAATCATATGGCCAATATTTATCAGGAGTAACATTATCAAACCCTTTTGGGAAAGGAACTCCAACTGGACAGGTTGGAAAAGGTTTGTCAGGGCTTGTGTCAGACGGACAGATGGTATGGGAGCCTGCAGACCTGGCTAAAGCAACCCAGGCATTCATCTTTGGTTGATTTACAGGTAAAGCTTCTGTTTGTGCTGTTGGAGCTGTGAGAGCCCTTTCCATTTTTTCTCCTAGAGTTTTTCCAAGTTCATTTGCCTGGATAGTTGCCACTTGCTGTGGACTCCCAATTTTGTT